GAAATCATCTTTGCGTACCCCTAGGTTTTTGTAGTAGGTCATGATGTGATCTACTCCAAAAAGCCCTGAGTGGGAGGGTAATTTATTTACAAGAGTTGTGGCTATGTTTGTGAAAAAAATGTTCAAGTACTTGGCCACATCCAGTTTGTCTGTGATGAGCCTGTTATCTGTCTTTATGTTTAAGTTAGAAAATCTCGTTTTGAGTTTTTTACTGCAGCCAAGCTGGTTATTGAGTAATTTCCAAAGTTCACAGGGTTTATTTTTGTTTTCCTCAGTTTTGACATTGATGAAATTCTTTTTGGCAGTTTTGATCATGGAGCTTACGTCATTTCTTACCCCCAAAACACATCAGGAGCGTCTGCGCCGTGTTACGTAGCGGCTGCGCCACGCTGCGACCTCCTCCTGCGACAACACACACCAGACGCGTTTCAAAACGTTGCGGAAGCGGAGCGTCGTGTGTGCAGCCTCGCAGTTGTTGTTGATTTTGGAATATTTCCATTATAAATGCAAGGTTTTCCACCACAGCATACTGTATTTAAACATTATTGAGAGTATTTTGGGTAGTTGTTATAAGACATGAATAAAAACAAATTATAATACAAAAATATAATATCATTATAAAGAGTTAAACACAACTGTATTGATCCCTGGGCGAAATTCACAAGATAAAGTATAGTTAAAAAAACAATATTTATAAAAATATAAATACAAAATAATAATAATATAATAATCTTGATATAGGAAATAAGATCTTACTTTATTGTGAAATGCAAGTTTACTGAACAGTTTTTTAATGACTTTCACAAGATGTTAAACTACTGAATGGCTCTGTACTGTACCTACAAGTATTAATTAACTTTAAAACATTAATATGTAGTTGTTACCTTCCACTCCACAAACTGCAGCGACTAAAAACCAGGCCTTGTCCTTTCTGATGTTGTCCTTGTAAAAAGCATTGGTTACATCATATCAAATTGTGTGTTTCTCCACTTCCATTATGAACACCTCGTCGTCCATGGTGCGTTTCGTAGTGGAGGTGTTGTGGGGTCTGCTAAATTAGTATATGTGGGGGATGGGCCTGGCCCGGATGCTCACCTTTCCACTTCCTGCGAGGGGGGGGCTGCCCGACTTTACCTTACGGCTGCGCCGCGGCAAAAATAGGATTCATCCTAATTTTAGAGAAGCGCTGCGCCGAGCCGCTTCTGGGACGCGTCTGAGCCGTAACACGGCGCGTGTGGTGTAATAGCACCCATTGACTAGAGTGGCCGCGATCCTTACGACCGCCGCGGCGCAGCCGTAACGCGACGCAGACGCTCCTGGTGTGTTTTTGGGGTTAGTCTGTTTCTTTCCATTTTGAGTTCAGTCACGTGGGCCTGGAGTTCACAGCTCGTGCTTTTGGAAAGCATTGACTGACTTTTATGAAACTCAGAGCATTTTTTGTCTCTGGTTTTCATGGCGGTCAGTATGCCGGAGTGCATCCACGGCTCAGCGCGATTTTTTACCCTGGTTGTTCTTAGGGGGGCCAAATCATCGAGTATTGCAGAGAATTTGTTTTTGAAACCAAGCCATGTTTCTTCAACTTGTGTACCACTGAGCTCATCTGACCAGTCCAGGCTCTCCAGTTCTAGGTTAAAGGCCTCGCTAGAGTAGTTTTTGAGGTCTCTAGATATGACTGTTTTGTGACAGCCGGCCCTTTGTTTTAGCTTTTTGCGGGTACAGAATATCATATAATGATCACTTAAACCGCATGCTATAACCCCTTTACTGGAGATCCTGGACTTGTCAGAGGTCAGAATGAGATCAATGGTAGTTTGTGTTGTTTCACATACCCGGGTGGGTTGGGTGATTAGCTGGCTGAAGCCGTGCAGATCACAAATCCTACTGAAGGACTTGAAGACGGACGTGTCTTTACGTTGCATATCCGTGTTCCAGTCTCCAATAATAATTGTCTCTACATCCCCCACATCAGCCAAACACCCATCTAATGTATCATAAAAGTCACTCTGTTCCGGTGGTCTATAGATTGTCCCGACTATTACAGATTTAGCATTGTCAAAAAGAATTTCAACCCACACAGATTCAATATTTTCATGATGCAGGTCAGTACGGTTTTTGAAATTGGTGTCTTTATGTATGTACATGCAGACACCACCTCCATTCACGTTCCTGTCCCTTCTCACTACAAGATAATCTTCAATTTCAATCTCTGAATCTGTAATGGAATTGTCCAATTTGGTCTCAGAAAAGCATAATATGCTTGCCTTACCGTTCATGAATAGCTGCCTGAGTTCAGCCAGTTTGTGTCTCAGGCTGTTAGTGTTCAGATGAAAAATATGTAGTCCATTTTTGTTGCTTAAATGCACAATGTCGTCAGCTTGCAGATATTTGTCTTTGTCCGTTACAGCAACCGGCTTGCGGCCTGCCGTGGTGTTTGGAGAGGTGGAGTGGTGGTGGGGGGAGGGAGGCTCCGTTGTAGCTTTAGCCGTTGATATGCTAGCAGGGTGGCTAACAACATGGCGGATATTTGTTCCCTCGGATCTCGGTTCTCTTCCTCTCGTCACTGCCTCATGCGTGTCTGTCTGCCGAGGCGTCCCCGGGGGAATGTCGAAGTCTCCGTTAATTCCTCGGTCTCCGTCTTATCTGCAGACTTGTCAAAGCGTTAATTCATGGTTTTTACTAACCGTTATCAGTATGTAGTTACTTCGGCATCACTTTGAAACGTGTATTACAATAAATCACGGTCAAAAATGTTCATTTTGTTGTAGTTGTCTCCCATAGCATTTACATGGAGATACGCCCCGCCCCCTCTCCAGCGCCTCTTGTTTGAATGACAGGAGCAAACACAGCTGACAGCCGCGGTGAAATTCGAGCGATTAGAGCGATGCGAATATTGGGTGGTCTACCATAGTATTTACATGGAGATAAGCCCCTTAAAAACCATGAATTAATAAAGCATTAATTCTGTGTTTACTCCTGTCATTCAAAAAAGACGCTGGAGAGGGGGCGGGGCGTATCTCCATGTAAATCCTATCGGAATCGGATCGATCAGGCTAAACTAACCTGTAGCTGCTCCGTCCACACTCACAACAACATCATACAGACATAAATAAAGCAGCGACTGTATTCGCCATGACATAGACAGTCTGTGTTTTGCATATCTTTAACTTTTGTCCAGTTTCTGAACCGATATGAGGAGCTGTGAGCTCTGAGTGTGTGCTAACAGCTAACGGCTGATGTGTTGGGCCAATCACGAAGCGTCATTTCTTGACGGGCAGCAAAAACAACCAATCACAGCAGTGCTTCTATGGCTCTGTCCAATCACAAACAAGAAGTGTTCTCCCTAAGGAATACCCTTTCCGTCCAATGTGAAATGCTGTTGTGTTTTGTGAAATGTTGTGGCGTTTTGTGAAATGTTGTGGCGTTTTGTGAAATGCTGCAGCGTTTTGTGAAATGCTGCGGCGTTTTGTGAAATGCTGCAGCGTTTTGTGAAATGCTGAGGCGTTTTGTGAAATGCTGCAGCGTTTTGTGAAATGCTGCGGCGTTTTGTGAAATGCTGTTGTGTTTTGTGAAATGCTGCGGCGTTTTGTGAAATGCTGCGGCGTTTTGTGAAATGCTGCGGCGTTTTGTGAAATGCTGCGGCGTTTTGTGAAATGCTGCGGCGTTTTGTGAAATGCTGTAGTGTTTTCTGAAATGCTGTTGTGTTTTCTGAAATGCTGTTGTGTTTTGTGAAATGCTGTGGTGTCTTGCACTTCAGGGCCACCGTAGCTTCGCTAGGAATTTAATTTGACTTTGGAGGATGTTGAGCACAGTGAAACACAGATTATGACAGTTTATTACACATTATTTAAACACTAACAGGAACAACAGAAGAAGACAGACAGGAATAAACAAACAGTTTGAGCTCTGCAGTGTTTAAGGACTTGTTAGTGGATATATAATATATCTGCCGGGGGTTATTTTTTCTTTAGTGACCGTCTCATTGCACATTATCCCCTACATTTAGAACTTGAGGGTTAACGCTCAACAGTAAAAGGAACAGTTATTCATCTTTATCTGGAGCCCTCCATGATGAGTTTCACACAATGTGAAAGTTAGACTGTATTAATTTCTCACTCATTAGAATAGTTTTCTGTACAGATCACCTTAGGTTGAGTGAGTGGATCCTGCAGGGTGCTGAGCCAAAGCTGGAGATAGTTAATGATGTCTGTTGGCAAGCCTGAAGATAAAAGAGTTTCATGGAGAGAGAAAATGTCAAACACATCTTCTGCTGGCCTTTTCATCTCATGTCTAAACTCAGAATCATGTCGGGAACTTTGGTGTGCAGCGAGACAAAGCTTTCTAGTAATGAACTAACAGTTGCTCCTGCATGTTGTTCCTGCATGTTGTTCCCTGCAATAGGCAGCAGGGAACAACATGCAGGAGCAACTGTTAGTGATTGGCTGATCTTAAGCTTTGATTCGCTTTCATGATCACTGTGCTTATGGCTCATGTCTTGATCAGAATGATATGCAAGTGGTGTGAGAAGATGGTGGTGGAAAGCATGGTGTAAGAGAATATACAGTGCAGTGAACCCGGCCAACACAAGGAGTTAAATGTCAACAAAAAGCAGGCTGAAACAGAAAGAAATCCCTTACATGATAGCAAATATAGTGGAAGTGTAGGTGTTTTTATTAAGGTATTGAGCTATATACATTGAAACACAGCTTTATACCTTGAACATGTCACAGCACGGATATTTCTTAATTGCAACAACATGAGCTGTGTCTTGGATAATGGACAAGCAGAAGTTAAAGTGTTTAAAGCAAACCTGATGGTGCACATAGGATGTCTGAAAGGATATATAATATAATGTAGGTGTTGTTCAGCAGTCCCCTGTCGGATTGTAATGAGCTGTGATTTTGTTCGAGGAGCAGATAATGATTTCACCCCGGGGTGGGGGTCAACACTTAATGGTGAACCTTTGAATGTTGATTTTGCCTCTGCTGTGTGTTTTTTTACAGGATGAGGGCTGCGCTGCTGCTGCTGCTGCTGTTTCTCACTGTCATCTCTGTCAGCGCTGCTGGGGGAAAAAACAAAAAAGGTACGATTCTTCATCTAAAAATTGCCTTTTTTAATATTTAGTATCCCAAACTTGTTATGAATTCATATTTTTCCCATTTACATGTGAATGAGGACCCTGTGAATAGCAGCTGACAGTGATATCAATAATAAAGTAAAGAACATTTTGGAAAATACTATGTGTATTTGCCTTGTTTTTGACTGTGTGTTAAGTACAGAATTATTTTCACAATATGGTTAGCCTAGCATAGTCAATAGCTTGGCATAAAAGCTGGAATCAGGGTAGGGTAAAATAGGTAGCCTGGCTGTTGTTCATTAAGAGAACATGCAATGAACAGTTGTTTAATGGCTGAAGTAAAAGAAAAACAAATGAGTTGCTTTTGATTCTCCTTTGCATATGGCATCAAAAAAAGTAACTAACATAAGTAAATCGTTTTTAACACTGAAGAGTCACAGTTACGACGATATGTCACAGACATTTATGTATTGTTTTGCATAAATATCTTCTGAAATGTATTGTATTGTCATGTTTTTTTCAGCATATAAGCTAACTAACTAGCGTAGAGAGTGATATGATGAAGATTTTAGCACTTTAAAGTACAAACACCCACTCTTACCTGTTCCCATTCCATTTCCATAAGTTTCAGTGCACATTATGTTTGTAGACAGACACAGAACCCTTACACTGTGATGCACTCAGCTGCTACATGGCCACACAGCTCATTAATTGGGATGTTTTCCAAGCTGCTAATAGCATGTTTTCTATTGGCTAAAGAGAGAACACCCTATAGAAATCAACACAAACACATGTCTAATAATATACAACCTTTGCTACACATTTAGGTAATAACTGGTTATGCATTTTATTCCATCCTCAGAGAAAAATAAACCCTCACAGTCCGGGTCAGAATGCACTGACTGGCGCTATGGCAACTGTGTCCCTAGCAACGGGGACTGTGGAGCAGGGTTTAGGGACGGGTCATGTGACCAGCAGAACAAGAAGATGAAATGTAGGGTACCATGCAACTGGAAAAAAGAGTTTGGAGGTAAAACACACACACACACACACACACACACACACACACACACACATACACACACACACACACACACACACACACACACACACACACACACACACACACACACACACACACACACACACACACACAACATGTGAGAGTTTAAATGGTGATTATTTCTGTGCAAATTAATCTGCAACTAGAATTAGTTCAGTTAAATTAACTCTTTTACGTGGGTAGTGTGTTCTATACACACCTGAACATCAGCAAGAGAGGACTCTTTAAAGTAGAGACACTACATACTGATATACACCTGAACATCAGCAGGAGAGGACTCTTTAAAGTAGAGACACTACATACTGATATACACCTGAACATCAGCAGGAGAGGACTCTTTAAAGTAGAGACACTACATACTGATATACACCTGAACATCAGCAGGAGAGGACTCTTTAAAGTAGAGACACTACATACTGATATACACCTGAACATCAGCCGGAGAGGACTCTTTAAAGTAGAGACACTACATACTGATATACACCTGGACATCAGCAGGAGAGGACTCTTTAAAGTAGAGACACTACATTCTGATATACACCTGAACATCAGCAGGAGAGGACTCTTTAAAGTAGAGACACTACATACTGATATATACCTGAACATCAGCAGGAGAGGACTCTTTGAAGTAGAGACACTACATACTGATATACACCTGAACATCAGCAGGAGAGGACTCTTTAAAGTAGAGACACTACATACTGATATATACCTGAACATCAGCAGGAGAGGACTCTTTAAAGTAGAGACACTACATACTGATATACACCTGAACATCAGCAGGAGAGGACTCTTTAAAGTAGAGACACTACATACTGATATACACCTGAACATCAGCAGGAGAGGACTCTTTAAAGTAGAGACACTACATACTGATATACACCTGAACATCAGCAGGAGAGGACTCTTTAAAGTAGAGACACTACATACTGATATACACCTGAACATCAGCAGGAGAGGACTCTTTAAAGTAGAGACACTACATACTGATATACACCTGAACATCAGCAGGAGAGGACTCTTTAAAGTAGAGACACTACATACTGATATACACCTGAACATCAGCAGGAGAGGACTCTTTAAAGTAGAGACACTACATACTGATATATACCTGAACATCAGCAGGAGAGGACTCTTTAAAGTAGAGACACTACATACTGATATACACCTGAACATCAGCAGGAGAGGACTCTTTGAAGTAGAGACACTACATACTGATATACACCTGAACATCAGCAGGAGAGGACTCTTTAAAGTAGAGACACTACATACTGATATATACCTGAACATCAGCAGGAGAGGACTCTTTAAAGTAGAGACACTACATACTGATATACACCTGAACATCAGCAGGAGAGGACTCTTTAAAGTAGAGACACTACATACTGATATACACCTGAACATCAGCAGGAGAGGACTCTTTAAAGTAGAGACACTACATACTGATATACACCTGAACATCAGCAGGAGAGGACTCTTTAAAGTAGAGACACTACATACTGATATACACCTGAACATCAGGAGAAGAGGACTCTTTAAAGTAGAGACACTACATACTGATATACACCTGAACATCAGCAGGAGAGGACTCTTTAAAGTAGAGACACTACATACTGATATACACCTGAACATCAGCAGGAGAGGACTCTTTAAAGTAGAGACACTACATACTGAAATGAACCTGAACATCAGCAGAATATGGCCCCTTTAAGACAAACCACCTCATTACCTGAATGATCCCCAGCATGTCAGTCCAGAAACAGTAGCTGCAAGCACCTGTAACATATGATGCAACACATTGCAGCAGTCCCCTTTCATAAACACATACCTCTGTCTGGCTATAACCATACCATTTGTGTTGACACTGTGTCTGGGATGATTCAACTCTCAAGATTCAGCCTCAAATGTTCATGACATACTTTGTGTCTCAGACAGCTCAGAGGATGACCATGGGTGTTGCATTGCTATGGAGGTTGATTTTCTCCTTTAATTGGAGGAGACCTGCACTGCTTATGTCTTATTTTTCCCACAACAATTTGTACTGTACAGGGTTTTTTCAGATGGAACAAACTGGATCAGTGGTTGCCTAAAGCAAAGTGGCTTGTACTCAAGTCAAGATGAACTTAAATTAGTGCATTTTCACATGAAAGCGCCTCAACACAATTTACAAGACATAACGAAAAGTACTACAAGGAAGTGAAAATGAAAACTTAGTATTATAGGTGGTGGTAGGTTTTATGTTTTAAACATTTTGAGTAAGGAATTCAGAATTCACCTTTTGTGTAAGTTGGACACAAGGATTTCAAGGATTTCAGGATATCCAGGATGGTCAGCATTGAGTATGAAACTATATAATCCCTGCATCTACATTCTGTGCACGGACAATGCATATTTTTTTGCAGCAGCGTTTTGACAGGGGTCACATGTGGGTGTTGCAGGGGTGGAGCATTGATTGGCCTGGTTGAGGTCAGTCAACTTTTGATCCCCCCCCCCCCTCCAAGCTGAAGAAGTGTAAGCTCCTTCAGAAGCTTTCTCTCCAGACACATACAGGTCCAGGTCACATGGTGTCATCCTTGCTGCTGTACGACACAGAAGACTAGATTTAGTCAGACCTTTGGGTAAAGGATAAAGGCACATGTAGCAGTGATTTGTGGTTCTCTGAATAAAATGTCCCTGGCCCTCAGGCAAAATAAATCCTGCATGGGAGGGGCCGGAGGCAATTTTTGGGAGAAGTTCCATAGAAGTAAAACTAATCATCAAATCACCTTATCCAGAGACTGGTCACACAATGGAGATTATGAACCCCACTATACTATATTATAATATACTATACTTGAATATACTATACTATAATATACTATACTATAATACTATACTATGTTATGCTAGTATAACATAGTATAGTATATTTAAGTATAGTATATTATAATATAGTATAGTGGGGTTCAGAATCTCCATTGCTATAGCTATACTATACTATAATATACCATACTATAATACTATACTATGCTATGGTATGCTATGCTATGCTATACTATGCTATACTATACTATACTTTACTATACAAATCGATACTATACTATACCATACCATACCAAAACGTACCATACTATACAGTACTATACAATATTATACTATACCAAAGCATACATTACCATAACATACCATACGCATAACATACCATACACTATACTTTACTGTACTATACTATACTTTAGAAAGTTTGTTAAATATTTGTTTTGTTGTTATTCATGTGGAGTTGACATATCTAAAGCTATCTGTTCTCATCAGATCAATATGATGTTAAATGCATCTTAAGGGACATTTAGACTGTGTCCATTTGCAGCATTAGAATTTAAGGTCAAATTGTGTTGCCTCCTTCTTATGATAATAAAACTAAGGACTTGTTAGTGGAAAACTAAACTTAAAGGTGGGGTATGTAATTTATTTCAGAAACACTTTGTTATATTCAATGGAATGCTCTTAACATCCCGATAGCAATGAATACATTAAATGCGTTGACAATAAATACATTAAAAAATATCATCTGTGGAAGCCGTGGCGCTGTAAAAAGCACGACCAATCATCTGAGCCGGCCTGGCTAAAATAACTGGATGGCCTGTCAGCCTTCCATCTTATCTCGTGCCCTCATTGGTCATGTGCGCGTTCGTGTGTGTTGGAGGAGGGGCTCTGTAAGGAAGTGGCAGATTTTTTCCGGCTGTGTATTTTCAAATTCTAGCGCACTCGAGCTGGTTTCTCCAAAATTACCTACCCCACCTTTAACAATTATATATGCCTTTAATGATATTCTGTGCAGGTTACACTTTGTAAATATGGAGGGATGTTTAAAAAATAGAGCATAAACAAAGCTACCATTGCTGCAATGCTATCATGCCTTCATGCATTTTTCAACAAAACAGAATTATACCTTGAAGGAAAATCAGTGTAAGACATTGTCAATCCAAATTGGCATGATCAACAGCTAAATAAAACATATTTTCTGTGAATTCTGGAGGTTAATAAATAATAATTAATCATGAATCAGTGCAGACCCATGTAGTGCTATATAGGTCAGGTTGTACTTTGAGATCAGCTGTTGCATATATGCCAACGGTGAGATCTGTTTAATGAGCAATACGAATGAAATGTATATTCTAAATATGTGATATGTCTGTTTGTACTGCCTTAATTTCTGTGTTCACAAATCTTCTCTCCCTTCTAGCTGACTGTAAGTATCGGTTCGGCAGCTGGGGAGAGTGTAATCCAAGCTCTGGCTCGCGGACCAGAACAGGGACATTGAAGAAGGCTCTGCATGATTCACAGTGTGAACAGACTATCTCTGTCTCTAAACCCTGCTCTGGAAAAACCAAGACGAAAACCAAAGGTAAGACTGACACTCACCGTCATAATGAAAAACATTGTATTTGGGTGATTGAAGATCGTTGCATTAGTAACATATTTGTAAAGTGATTCTGCAGGTAAACGTTTGACCTGGTCGTCATCTTAATTTGGCGTGTCATCTTGCAAAATGTGTTCATTAACAGGAAACAGTCAAGTATTGCTGAGGCTAATAATAATGACTTTTGTTTAGTTGATTTGATGGCATAAATCATATCATACTGACAGTGATGAATGCCAGATGTCACTGAGGCCATCAAGACATTTCACTTAAAATATCATAGTCAGCGCAGATGAAAAGTCATTTACAGTCCTCACATTTTTTTTTCTAATAACTTTGATGAAACCTAGCAGCACTTGTACACGATAAATACTTTCCCAATGATAGACAGCTGTTTGAATTGAATATGCTATTCCATGTTCAATAACAGACCAGCATTTGGTGAAATAATGGTATCATTTTTTTTCTTTTCAGGAAAGAAGAGAAAAGCCAAGGGAAACTAGTCTGAAGCAGCTGTCCTCTCACTGTGGCCCCAACACTTCTACACTTATAGCCTGAGTATTATACACCATTTTGAATGCACACTTCATCTGACATTACGTATCCTTCTGGACTTTTTACAAATTGTAAATGTGCATTCATCTCTAGATTAGGACTAATAAAGTGATCATGACCTGTATCAGCCAGTGTTCAAACTGCATTTTTCAGACTGCATTTTTAAGACCACCAAGCTAGAAATTCCTTGAGATATTTCAAAAAATGTATTCTGTTAAGGTATTCTCTTTCTCAAGCCAACACATTCTTATTTTAATCTCTCACCATAGTGACTTGTAGATGAAAGGGAATGTAGAATATAAGCGTTATACATTTGCCTAGGGACCACACAAGCCCCAAGTTATTTTATAATAATAATACAATACACAGACAGCAAGTGAAAGATAAAGAAAGGTCTGACTAACTGCACAAATGTTGACACTGCTTTCCAAGGTTTGAATAAAGTGAAGTTGAGAATAAACTCAAGACTATGGTTTTTATCACGTTATGTCATATGCCTCCATGAGTGAAGTAGTCCTTAGGATGATGATGTACATAATAACAAATAACAACCATAAACAATCTTACTTAATGTTAGTGCATTATAAGCATCTATTAAGTGTCTTATATTAAAAGTTAGGTTTTATCAACTTGTTATTTTAGGCATGACACTGCACAATCAGAATTCAATCATTCCACATTATAAAGCATTTAATAATGGCTTTTTCCCATAGTGTATTATAGTTTTTATGGTTGTTTACATAGTCATTTTAGATTGCCGTATAATGCATTACAGTCATGAACAATGTGTATTATAATCTAATACTCTCACCACCGTGTGACCCTTGCTAAATCAATGATATTACACTGTGAAATGTCAAACATGTGTGGAGATGGGATGGATCTTTTCTCACTGTGTGGAGCTTTTGATTCTGTTAGACTCAAAGTTTATAACGCCCCTGCGGACACATTAGTGACTTTAATGTCATGCTATGTTAACAAGCCCTAAAAACCTGCATTTGGAAATAAAATGACGTGCAATAAAGTTTAAGAGGTGATTGTTATTCTTATTAGGTGCAGCAACTTTATAAGTCCATTTCCCCACAGTAGAAGTACAAATGTGTCCCAAACAACTGTGAAGTGTGTTCAGTCATATACAGTAGCTCAGAGTGGAAGATGTGTGGTCTGTAGAGCTGAGGTTGTGTGTGTGTTCAGTCATATAGCTCAGAGTGGAAGATGTGTGGTCTGTAGAGCTGAGGTTGTGTGTGTGTTCAGTCATATAGCTCAGAGTGGAAGATGTGTGGTCTGTAGAGCTGAGGTTGTGTGTGTGTTCAGTCATATAGCTCAGAGTGGAAGATATGTGGTCTGTAGAGCTGAGGTTGTGTGTGTGTTCAGTCATATAGCTCAGAGTGGAAGATATGTGGTCTGTAGAGCTGAGGTTGTGTGTGTGTGTTCAGTCATATAGCTCAGAGTGGAAGATGTGGGGTCTGTAGAGCTGAGGTTGTGTGTGTGTGTTCAGTCATATAGCTCAGAGTGGAAGATATGTGGTCTGTAGAGCTGAGGTTGTGTGTGTGTTCAGTCATATAGCTCAGAGTGGAAGATGTGTGGTCTGTAGAGCTGAGGTTGTGTGTGTGTGTTCAGTCATATAGCTCAGAGTGGAAGATATGTGGTCTGTAGAGCTGAGGTTGTGCGTGTTCAGTCATATAGCTCAGAGTGGAAGATGTGTGGTCTGTAGAGCTGAGGTTGTGTGTGTGTGTTCAGTCATATAGCTCAGAGTGGAAGATGTGTGGTCTGTAGAGCTGAGGTTGTGTGTGTGTTCAGTCATATAGCTCAGAGTGGAAGATGTGTGGTCTGTAGAGCTGAGGTTGTGTGTGTGTGTTCAGTCATATAGCTCAGAGTGGAAGATGTGTGGTCTGTAGAGCTGAGGTTGTGTGTGTGTTCAGTCATATAGCTCAGAGTGGAAGATGTGTGGTCTGTAGAGCTGAGGTTGTGTGTGTGTGTTCAGTCATATAGCTCAGAGTGGAAGATGTGTGGTCTGTAGAGCTGAGGTTGTGTGTGTGTTCAGTCATATAGCTCAGAGTGGAAGATGTGTGGTCTGTAGAGCTGAGGTTGTGTGTGTGTGTTCAGTCATATAGCTCAGAGTGGAAGATGTGTGGTCTGTAGAGCTGAGGTTGTGTGTTAAATTCCTATCTTGGGTCGGACCTTAAAGACAATTACTTTGAAAGGTTATTATATTTAGACGTTTCTTTGAGATGTCATATAGATCATGGACTTATGAGGAAGCTCAGTAGAGCTGATGTTGAGTGTTCGATACTTCGGTTTTAAAGTCCAACACCCATAATAAATCAGAGTCAAACATGTAGAGGTTGTGACACAAACTCTACTCAGATCTCATGGCATAGACAAGACTATTCTGAAGAACTGAAGTCTTAGGTTCGATCCTCATGAAGTGCAGTGATTTTTCCAAGTCCAACACCCAGTGTAGAATAAGTCTACCAAACGAAACAGAAATTTCCCAGGTCAAGTGGCTCACAGGGATAAAACACTGCCTTGAAGATTGGAGGTTGAGGGTTCAATGCTTATCACTTGCAATGACCTTTAAGGTCCAGCAGCCAGAAATAATGAATTCATATAAGCAAAGAGATCAGTTCTACATTAACATCTGGTAGTGGTGCTATACTATGACTTTCTTCTGATTTGTTTCACAACCCATACCAAGAGAAAGTCTCTACCAGAAAACTGACAGACTGCTTACTGTAGGTCATTTAGCTCCGAGTGATATGAGACGTATCAGAAGACCAGAGGTTGTGAGTTTGATTCTTAGAAGGAGCAGTGATTTTAAACCTCGAGGTTAAAGAAGAGCAGTTTTACGTTTACATGTGTCCATCTAGGCACAGCTTATTGATAAACTTGAGTTTTTTTTAAGTTCAATACCCAAAATGTAGATATGTTTACCAAACGAAGTGGTTGACGCTCAGGTCAAATGGCTCACAGGGATCAAACACTGTCTTGAAGACTGGAGCTTGTGTTTTCAATCCTCTTTATTTGCACTGGTTTTTCAGGTAAAACATTTAAAATTATAAACTCAAATAAGCAAAGAGAAGAATTTTTCAATTACATGTGTTCGTGCCTCAATTGTATGACGTACTATTAGATTACCAAACGAAACAGAATTGGCCCAGATCCCAGGTTGGCTCACTGGGATAAAACGCTGCCTTGAAGACTGGAGATTCTTGGCTCTATCCTCTTTATTTTGAGGATAGTTTTATTGGATGCACTGCACAATAAATTGTTCTATTTCCTTTTTTACATTTTCATTGTGACATAATCTACCAAACAACCTAAAACTGTCAAAAATGAATTAGCTCTGTAGGATACAACACTGCTCAGGTGAGCAGGAGTCTTGGGTTAGATCCTCATGAGGTCCATGCATTTTCCATGTCTAACTACCCAAAGTAGACAATAAATTGACCAAAGGAGACGTAACTGTCACAAGTCAAATGGCTCAGAGGGATAGAAAATAAGGCTCATCTCAATTGAATATTTCACCTCCTCCTTTCCCTCACTCGCGTCCCTTCCTTGCGTCTTAGCTCCGCCTCCGTAAAATGTGAGTGAGAGACACGAGGAGGAGACGCGAGGACAGAGGAGTCCTCAGGTATTAATTGGGATGTGCTCGTTCACTCAAACGTCACTTTTAAACGACGTCTGTTAATGAGGACATGTGCACAGCTGTATCCCCTCTCATCGGGCTTAACTGACCCTTTAGAACCGGCCCATTTGTTGTTAAATATTTATTTAAATGAATGAATCTTTCTCTTGTTAGTCAAGGAATTCAATGTATGATGGTTGGTCCTGCTTTTGTGTTCCGTTTTGGTGTAAAATGTAGCCTACATTTAAATAACAATATAATTATAATAATGTGAAAGCCTTACTCTGAAAATGTCCTGTAGATCCCCACATTCACCACAAACCCACATTCAGGACTGTGAATTTTAAATCATTGAACTCCTGAATATCTTAACACAAAACAATACAAATATTATTATTTATCAAGATCTAGTCATTTATGAAATAGCTTTCTTAATAGCTATGTTTTAGTGATGTTCAAGAACATTAAACATGACTTAAATTGTTTAACCTTAAGAAATGAATTGCACATAATAATTCCCACGGAGCTGTGAGCACGCTTTTCCATAATGCACACATTTTCCACTCATTCTTCCAGTTCTCCGTTTTCCTCTGTTGAAATCGACCAGCTGTGACGGTGGGGGCGGGGTTTTTATATGCGAGTAGTGAAAACACTTCCGCGTAGTCTGCTCTCGTGTATCCTCCCTTTCGTCTCCTCCCTCACCCCTCCTCAACTCCTCCGTGTCTATTTCAAGTATTGGGACGTCCTTCAACATGGCGTGTCTTGATCGATTTCCGGGTCAAGTCCCGGAGGAGGGGAAGAGAGGAATTGAGGAGAGGTATTGAGATGAACATATGGACTGTGAGACTGAAGGTTGTTGTTCGAGGCTTTTCAGGTGCAGTAATCTTTAAGGTCCTGTTATGTCCCCACTAGGCGATGAAGAAATGCAACACACCAGTTGGAATTGGTAATAATTATAAAAGGAGTTTATTATATAGCAGATTAACAAAAATGGCAGGCAAGCAGCCTGGAACAAACAAAGTGGCCAAAAGGGCGCAGGTTTAAATGGGCAATCAACAAAGGGAGGACTCTAATAAGGGAGCCTACGTAAATACAAAGGAATATACACTAATCAACAAAATAACAACCCTCACTATCAAAGTGGTACAACTAACAAAGGAGCTGTAAGCAGACACAGCGATACTACAGAACAACAGTCAAAGTGATGCTAAACTAATCTAGACACCTTCAATCATAACCACACTACTAATCACAGATCACAAGAGTTAACCACAGTTAACGGTTTTGTTTACAGTCAAGAAGCAAAATAGCGAGAGGCGTCTGTTCACACAGAGCAACGATCCACTGATCGTTGTCCCCAGGCTTTGTAGTCGTCTCCGGATGGTGTGCGCCGGATGTGCGCTGGGATTGGGGCGCGTCGGCCCGGCGTGCTCCAATCACAATATTCGGGGACGGATTGGCAGCCAATGACGTCAGGGCAACCGCACAGCTCATTTACATATAACACAACAAGTGTTGATGAAATGGGTGAGAAACAGTAGAATATCAGGAGCGATAGTCTGAAGGGGGTTTGAAGGGATGGGTTCAGAGGACAGGTGGTAGGGCGGGCAGAGGTAATGAGGGTAAGAACCTCACTTGGAGAGAGAGGGGAAAAGGAGGTAAGTGTGTTGGTGGAAGGAGGGTCTGGTGACCCAGCGGTGAGTAAAGGTGAGTCAGAAAAAGAAGAGCGAATATCATCAACCTTATTTTCAAAGTGGGCAACAAAGTCGCTTGACAGAAGGGAGGAGGGGGAAGGGGCTTTGGGAGGGTCCAAGAGGGTGGAGAAGATGGAA